GGTCATTTGTCAAACGCCAAACCTGGCAAAATGTCCCAAACTTGATAATTTCAATGTAAATATACAACACGGCTGAGAAAGAATATTAACTGCCTCGCTCAGATCTGCATCCTCGGCAGCGAACACTGAGCTCGACTATAAATAAGCGCTTTCTCCGCCTGTTAGATAATGTACTATTTAATAGCATTAATTGTTAATTATTTTATTTTTTAAATAGGTACCCCATACATTCAAAATGCAAAACTCTCCAAACCCAACCCAACCTCAAAGTTAGTATGGGACAAAGCAACCGCCGTTTCACTCAAACAATTGTAATTATGTGTGAATATGTGTTTTGGTAGTAAGTGACTGTTCGCAAAATATCACCTTTCCAAGACTATCATAGTAGAAGTTATATTAAAAAAACTGATATGATAAGTAACACTTTATCACCCTGTATCTTGGAAACATAAGTAATTTGGAAAAATATTTATTTGGGATTTTGTCTTATTTTTACTTGCTCAATCTTTTCCTAAATTTATGCTAATAAGTTTAGGGACACCTTGTTATAGGACGGCAGTATTATTCTAATTTGCACCCTTTATATGCTTAAATTAAATTAAATTAAATACTTTTTACCAATGAGTCGACCTATCATTAAAAAAAAAATCATCAGAATCAGATGTGCGGTTCGCAAGGAAATTCAAAAAACTAAAACTTTTAAGGATTTAATTAATCTACAAAATGATTTAACCTTTTTTATGGTGTACCAAAAATAATATTTACCTTATCAATCTTAAGAAAAAACAAGGATTTTTTTTAATTATCATAGAATTTTTTAAAATTAGGCAAGAATTTGTTCTATTTCGACATTTAAATAAAAAGAGGTCTTACTTCTATTTATTTTTGTAGGATTGGCTGTTTATTATTACTTATTTTTATTTAATTCACACATGGATTACCAACTTGGTAATACCAAGATTAGCTCTAAAGATATATTAAGTTTTTTTACAAAACATTCAATTTCTGGGTTATCTGATAACTTTCATGTCAAAGATTTAATGCCAAAATAGAAACCCAAATAAGACGTATACTTATTTGTTTATTTTTTGTGTATCATATCCAAAAATTCTGAATAGTGATCTGGAAACAAATGCTAATTTTACCTAAATTTTGTAGTCTTTGAATATTAGTGTCGAACAAAGTGGATGGGTTGTTAAAATGGACGAAAACTAATTATTTTTCAGCCAATTTCAATTAACGCGAACGAAATGTAATCTAGCGCTTCACTTCAAACAGAATCCAATATAGAAATCAAATTATCGCTGAAGCCCGTACTCTCGGTGACTGCAGCCAGAGCACAGCGAACAGCAGAGATCCCAAAAACGTTAACGCCGCTCTTCATTTATCATTATTTTTATAATCGGTGCCTCGGTTTTATTTGTGCCGTAATTACGTTTTACTACCAATCAAATAGATTAAATCAGATGGGAAGGGATTTTCACGTCACCAGCGTTTTATTCATTTCGAAACATTTTACATTCTCTTCCATTTTTGTTTTGTTTACAAATTTCATTATTATCAAAAATTTTAATAAATTTTAGATAATGACAATTTTAAGAAAAATATAATTTTTTGTAAAATTATACGGGGTATTATTCTATAAATGGGTATATTTTATTTCAAAAGCAACAAAGTCTTTTAAATTAAAGAAAAGTTGAGTAATTACGAGTCTTTTAAAATGACAATTAAAAATTGGAGAAATCTGCAGTTCTCAAATAATTAAAATCGTTATAACTTCCTGGGAACTTTCATATTCATCCAATTAGTGATTTTTTCGCCTACTATATTTGGAGTAAAACTATCACATTTTATTTTTTTTCTTTGGCAGCTATATTGAAATTTTACATGGTTAGATATAATAGATTTATCAAACTTACTATATAAGTTATGGCGGACATAATAAAAGAAGAGATTGTGACGGTAACTCAAAATATAGAAGAAGAAATTGGATCAAAATATATATAAATGTGTATGAAGTTATAGCTGGCAAAAATACATAGCGCAAACCACTTGATTTTTAAGGGCCTGTGTAAATAACGAATACTTTATTTATAAAAAATTACGAATAATTCCTGATTAGTTTTATAATAAAATCCATATCTATGGCTTGCTCATAGAATAAGATTTTAGCAAATATTTTAAGTAGGTAGTCAAAATTTACAAAAAATAAATTTAAATAATATATTTGTTAAAACCTATATTTACTATAAAATGCAGTTAAACTTATGCATATGCTGAATTTTCATGGTTGGGAAATATACTAAAATATTTTTGTTTTATGATAACGCTTTCTTACAAAAGTGACATTTTTATAAAATCCTGTACCTGCAGGTACATGTACTATTTAAATCTCCAATATTTAGATACAATTATCTTTGGGTTATTAAATAAATCGGAAGAAATACATAGAAAAATCTAATATACCTACATATTTTAGTGTATTAAAATTAAAATTTATTATCCTAATTACCAAAATAACTTAAACTAGAATTCCGTTCGATGTAGGTATTTATAAATACATTATTATAGAATATTTGGCATTTCATAAAACGGACGCCGTTTTATGCTCTTAATGAAATGTGTTATAATTTCATCAAGAAGATGGGTGATATCATTCATTTCATAAAAAGGATATCCAATTCATTCGTTTAGTGTATTCATATGCAACAAAATAAGGGAGAAATAATTTTCAGTATTAACTTTTTATTGTAAAAAATATTATTCAACTATTATCAACTTTTTATAAAGTACTTGATAAAATAATTATTAAATAATTATTAAAAATAAAAATAATTCTAAAAATTAAAATCTAAAACAGTCAGTTCCAAAAATTACTTTTAATTTTTTTGTCTACAAAGAGACAGCCAGGCAATAACCCAACCGGTCATAACATTAACATATTCAGCATTAAAGTGGTAATATTTTCAAAAGCATTAAGGGCCGTATGCAGAAACTTTGATTTATTTATACCAACTGATTTACGCATATCCACTCATTTAAGTTTGCAACTTTTAAATGATAGTAGATTTGTAGGTTATCTGAAATATGTGTTTATTACATTATAAGATAATACATTTTTAAAATATATTATTAAATATACACATAAATACATTTATAACTTACTATATTGACAAAAACTTGGTTTGAAGAGGATTGCGGCAAAATAAAACACATACAATTGGGTTATGTTCGCAGTTTGCAATGTGTTCTGGTATTAGTAAATTTGCATTAGAAGGTATGAAAAACGAAAATTATGGCTTAAAAGCCATTCAAGTGTTTGTTCTTGTAAAAGATTAATTATAATAATTATGTTATAGTTATAGGAATAATAGACCTGTTTCTAAAAGGCAATGCTCTTTTACCTATTCTTTTACAGGCAAATGTTTTGAAAAATAAATGCAATGATGCGGAAGACATCGAGAGGGAAAAAAGACATTTAAAATTTGTATAAAAAAATAAGAAACAAACTCTAGAGGATAACATATATTGATATTGGTCCTTCTAAAATTGTTTTTTTTAAATTTTTTAAACTTTAATTAATCCAGTCTTATTGAAAATTTTATGGATTGTAACATTAAAATCTTTTTAACCATTAAACAAACCACAGGTCTGTGAAACAAACCTTTCAGCATCAGGATTTAAATGTTTTGGTTTATATGGCATTTAATGCATCCATTTGATTTTAAATGATCAAATGTTCGAGAAATTGTGGTTCATGCAGGAATCGGTTGGTCAAATATAAAAAACAGAAAAGAGTTTTAGTAATCTAAACTTTAGAATCTAAAGTTTAGATTACTTAAACTATTTTCTGCAAAATATATTTGTAATAAACTACTTTTTTCCAAAATACTGTCCCATGGAAAGACATGGATTCCCTGCATAACAATTTCCTTGTAGGGAATTCTCGGAAAGAAATCAAGCTTTGTCCTTTATATGGGCTTTAGTGCTTTATTCATAATGGTTTGAATAAACCAAGATTTTTTGCACATAAACATAGCTAACCAAATACTTGTAAATAAGCTGAAGGCCAATAAACCTGAAGAATAAAAACTCGCTGCAAGTTGTTTGATTAATAAAACAAAGACAGATTGAGTACAGGCGGCGCCTTAAAATTACGTCATGATTCATCTTAATGAATCAAATCATACTACCGTACATAAATTTGTTATTTCCGATTGTGGTTTCAGATTAAACTTTGCAAACCTCCTACGTTTGTAATCGTGATTTAAAAGAGACAAAGTTTGCACAAATATTTTTAATTTATCGTATCCTCAATTAAACATCGAGAAACATGATCCGCCAGTTGCTTAATAAAGCGAAAACACAACAGACAAATTAATAAATGTGTATTTTAGTCCGACGCTCAACTTCCTGATTTAATACACCAAAAAACGTTCGTTAAGAATGAGAACCTAAAAAACCTAGTACTGTATCCTGTGACGCACTTAAACGAAATTAAAAATTAAATCTTTTTCTATTAAATATTGAGTTACACTTGCATGACGGCACAACAATGCCTTATGTTTGCCATATGTAAAGTAAGTAATGAAATCTCCACTTTTTATGATACAATTTATATTGTAACTAATACTATACGCACACATATGTAAAATTCTTCCTAAAAAATGTATGAGTAAACATGTGGCTCAAATGAGATTTATTTTTATTTTGCAATTATTGTTATTTTTAGTTAAATCTCAACAATGAATAATAAATGTACAAGCTTTCAGAAATCGTCTAAATATAATCATATAGACTAGTAAGCCGATTACTGAAATGCTTTTAAGCTTATTAGAAAAGAACTTCAATCATATTTATTATCCATATTTAATGAAGCTAAATCTTACATCTTTGTTTTTATATTAGAAAAATGCTTAAATGTTAGGAACACTTCTTAAGAATAATAAAAGAAGGAGATTGTAATATATCATGTACTGCATTATTTTATTTTATTTCAGATAATTTATCGGAAACAAATGGATCTCCGCAACAGTTTTCACCACCTTCAAATTTCCCCTCATTTTGTAGAACATTATGGGGGGCTCCAATGTTACCAGGAGGGCCAAGATTTTTACCTACAATGGCCCAAAATACAAAAATTAATAAGGAAAAACCTCGTAAGTAAAAATTTATAGGTAAATAGAAACCAGAAATTTTTTTAAAAGTTTTTTTACGTGTTTAAAACAGTAAACACTCAATATACAATGTAAACGTCAATGTCAATTTCAATATAAGATTTAAAATCATACAATTTCTAATAAAACCTCACGGGTTAATTTGACAACAGCAATAGTTATTTTTGTCACATCAATACTTCTTAGGAACTATAGTGAGCAATATTTTGCAGTAGTTTATTGAGTGGATTACTGTTCTGCGCATCAATAGTTACTGTTTTTTCTCCCTTGAGGTTTTTAAGAAAATTTGACAAAAAATAACACAAAATTTGCTGGAATAATAAGATGTTTTCAGCAATATAGAGCTATATTGTGGTCTGTAAGCAGAAGTCACTCTTCAAACAACAATCAATTAAAGTTGCGGGGCTAATAAAGGGGTCAAGTATCGTTGCCGACGTGACGTAAACTACTTGTGGGGTCCCCTGGACGGCGCACGAGTCGCGGATGCAATTACTTACGACGATTGTCGGAAAATTATACGATTTTCAGGATACGAAATCAACTTTCAAATTAGCCACTTAATTTTGTCGTTGAATTTAATAAATCGCTTCTGATCAATAAAATATATCAAAATTTAGAAAAATCATCAAAATTTATTAAAGTAAAACACATTTCGAGTATACTAGGTACTAGGTATAGGGGAGAGTGGGTAGACATTGGACAATTTTTAGATTTTTTGCCTGGGTCTCTTAAAAATGTAATTATTTCTAATTTCAAAGTTTCAGGTAATAGTGTTGACTTCTGAAAACGCAAGGAGATAAATATGTGCACTTTAAACCGTAAGATGGGTTTGCTACGAATTTTTGAAAATTTTCGGTCATCTGTCCAAAGTCACCCCACATACGGGGAGATTCTGGACAGCGTAAGGGGTGCATTTGGACACTATAAAAAATTAATTATAAATTTAGGAATTTTATTGAAAAAATCAGTGTAAAACTTATACAATACTAAATTGCGACAAATCAAAATTAAAGTAAATCATTTTATGGAATCGAACGTCCTTAAAATCCACCAAGGCTTCATCTTTTTCTTTAAATCTGTATGATGGAAGGAATTTGACTGTATATCCTCGGTTTAATTTTTGCAATATTCTGCTAACGAAGTGCCGGGACGATGTTTGGACAATAGAGGAAGACTCTAGACAGTGTGTCCAAACTCTTCCTACATGATGTGGAACAAAAAAAATGTTTATAATTTAAAAATATAGCAACGGAATAAAGTAAGGATATAACAAAAGTTCCATGCTTTATACCTACATGCTTTAATATGTAGTAACTTTAAATTATTTATATTCAACGGTCTGGGCAGAAAAGCTTACAAGGGGAAAGTAAAATATTACATGAAAAAACTCAAAAATAAACTTTTCCACTTACCTCTTCTACAGCTAAACTCAAACTTATTTCACTACCACTATTTGATACCTTCTCTCTAAAAATGAAATAGTCAAAATTCTACTATTTGAATTAGTAAAAGCATTTTTTACTAATAAAATAGTCGTTTTCACTTTTAAATAGTTATTTTTTACTATGTAAATAGTTAAAGTTTGACTAATTTAAGATTAGTCACCATATTTGACTATTTCTGACAGTTAAAAGTAACTAATTTCTTTCGTCGTTTACGGCCAACAACCAAGTATTATTTGAATTAAATGCATAGGTATACCTCTCCATGGTTAAATGACCCATAAAACAAATAAAGATGCAAAAAGTTTAGCTCAAAATAGCAAGACAAATAATATATTAAACTTTAAAATATTATGAACCATATTTATTGACAAATAAAATTAATTTTTATAAGAGCGGCTGACAGCCGAATGCGTTAAGACGTTAGATTGACAAACTTGTCAAGTGACAGACCTGAGTTCAATCCCAGGCTGGGTCAAAACTTTTTTTAAATTTAAATTTACTAATTTGACTATTTCATTCAGTGGAATTTGACTAATTATTAGTGACTGCTTTTTCACTATGACAATTAGTCAAATATGACTTATAATTAGTTATTTTTGACTAATTCATTTTAAGAGAGTTACCAACTTGACGATCTGTAATAGTAGAACCAGCCTGAAATTTTTACTGGAACCGCGAAATTTGTCCATTGTCCATTGTCTCCCAGTGTCCAGACCCTCCCCACTCTCCCCTACCTATTGGCTAAAAGTAAAGTTAAAAATTTGAAAAAAATATCCTTTACTTTGCAAAAAATGTTTTCTATAATATGTTTATTTTTGAAAAAAATTGCCTGAATGTCATTTTTCTGAAAAATTTATAATTTTGCAGTTTTTGATTAAATATACATTTTCATTGGTTTTATATCTATACTCTTTTAAAAAGCATTGATGAAACTTGCTTGTAAAAAATAATCTATTATTTTTTCAATTTTTTATAAAATATGCAGTGAAGGCCCACAACAAAAGGCACTTCAGGTTTGGGCCAAGTTATTCCTATGTATTTTTGCTGGCTGAAACTGAATCTAAACCTAGTTTAACTCCTACACGGTATTTTCTACAGTTTCAGAGTTTTTGAACTGTAGAAAAAATCCATCCTTATTTAGGGCACAGATGACTCGTGTTTTTTGTGGGCATGTGCCATTAATAAAACTACTGAAATTTTGGGGGAAAATATTTTGTAATTTTTTTTTACTGGGTTGGCAAGAGTTATGTAGTAAAATTATAATACATCATTATTCAATTACTATATCTTTAATAAATATTATGTTGAGCACAATTAAAATATCTGTATTTTAATGTTACTAAGGCAATTTTCAATAAATGCAACAAATCGTTTTGTAAAATTATAAAACTGAGTTGTACCTATTATGTCAGGGGTCTAATATCAAACCCAGCAAAGTCCATTTCAGTAAAATTTTTAGAAATTAAAAAAATTGCTATTTAAGTAATCTTTTGTACCCAGAGCTGGCCAAGTACTGAGTACTTTTACTCTTATTTCAACTACGAGTAAAAAAGTACGAGTACTTTTTTACTCATAATTGTTTTTCATTTAAAATACTTATTACTCGTACTTACAAACCAAATTCAATGTACTCGCAAAAAATACTCGTGAAATTCACGAGTAATATATACGAGTATTTCCGTTTATTATATCGATGAGGTAAAATTATAAACTATTTAAGAATTGTTATTTTTATTTATTATTTTATGTACCCAATTTTTAAAATAAATAATATTATAAATTTGTATTTGTATTTTCATAGCTCAGGACCAAAGTATTTATAATGTATAAAGAATAATCATATTAAGTAACACTTTTTTTTTCAAAAGTACTCATACTCTTTACTCGTATTTTCACGATTACTACTCGTAACCGTAACCTCTCTTTACAAATGTACTTACGAGTAAATATTTTAAGTACTCGTACTTAAAATTTTACGAATACTTTTTTAGTACTCGTGCCCAGCTCTGAATATGTACCTATAGGTACAAAATATTACTTTAATTAATTAATTAAGTAAACTTAGTAATCTGAGCACAAATATAAGGTATGATATTTTTACTCAATCAATTAAACTTTATTCGTATTTTTACGAAAATTTTGATAAAGTTGATGGAATTTGCTAATAAAAAATATTGTGCTTCATATTAGACCTCTGATGCCTCTACTATATCGTAGTGCCAGGTTCGGATTTTCATTAAAAATGTCGACTTTTAAACCTTAAAATGTAAAGAAATACGTTAGATTGATTGCATCATTTTTCAAAATAAAAATCCCAAAGGCATTGATGTTTATTCGACTTCGTAAAACTTTTTCTAATGACATTTACAAAATTCACGAACGAATAACGAAACTTTACAAAATCATCAAACATGCTGTTGGTCTAATATAAACTGCTGTTCAAAAGTTAGTATGTATGAACTATTTTGGAAAAAAATATTTGTGGCATACTAGGGAATAATTAAAATAATGTAGTGCCAAAATTAATATATATTTTTTCATTTTATAACAAAATTGAAATTAATAAAAAGCCTAGCATATCAGGGGGAATTTGTGCCCAAAGAACATATGCCTTAGTTTTCCCTATATCTATTTATATATTTATATAGCTATTTTATTTTGAAGACAAATTTAATTTCATTACTCATTACCTAAGCAATTAAAAACTAATTTCGATCCATAGGATCAATAAATAAAAAATTCCAAGAAAAAACCAAAACCAAAAAATAATATACTTTTATCTGGGTGTACTTAAGTCTAATAAAAATTAACGGATTAATAAATTCAATCAAGATAAAATCGAAAAAGCAATTTATTTATAAATCAATTTAATGAACTAGATATTAAATGTATCGGCAAATCTTATGATGTTTAATCTTTATGATCTATAATAAACCATGAAAACAGTATTTTTTAAGCAATAAACCCTTGTTTTACAATTGTTTAATCCCTCCACCATCCTGCCGCGATAAGGGATTAGATTTATCTAAAATAACTGCGTTTTAAAGTTAAATCATCAAAAACATAATTATGATGGGCTCCGACAAAAGGAACCTCAGTAACCACCACAGTAAAAAAATATTTGTTAATTTTAACCAAATATTAACCAGCTTTTATTTTAATCCAGGTCCTTTAACTTTATGTTAAGTTTACAACTAATTGAATAAGTAGTTTGTAATTATAACAAACATTTTGTAGATTTATTATAATAACAAAATCCTATGTAAATAATTCAACCATAATTCTTGTAATTTTCAAAAAGGATCTTATTTTTACAAAACATTTTTGTAGACACAGTAACAAAAGTATTTGTTGGAAATTGGGAAAAGAATTTTTATAAGAAATGTTTTCCTAAACAAAAAAAATTAACACATACCTACATAAATGAACAAAAAAAAACACACACACAATTAAATAACACCATTCTAAAATCATCAAATTATAAAGAAATTTGGTACAATATAACTTTCTATATTGTACCAAATTTCTTTGTAGTGT